GATATAGCAATGAAAACTAGAGCTGCGGTGATTGGTATTACTGAAACCTGGCTGGATGAGTTCGTTTTTGAGTCTGAAATAAACATTCCTGGCTACTCTGTTGTTAGACGTGACAGAAATAGAGAGGGAGGAGGTGTCTGCATTTTTATACGTAATAATTTGATTTTTAGTAACAGAAATGATTTACTTACTGATGACATGGAAGCCCTTTGGATTGAGATTTTATTACCGCACTCGAAACCTATTTTATGTGGCGTTATATACAGACCGCCAAAACAATTAACATTTTATACTTTATTTGAGTCTGTGATGTCATCTTTTTCGGAGTTTTCGGAATTTGAAACTATCATCCTTGGGGATTTTAATACTGGTGTTTTAAACCGTTCAAGTACTTGTGTTTTAGTGAAATCATTAAATACTATTTTAAGTTTTATGAATTACACCCAGTTAATCTCAGAACCAACAAGATGCACTGTTACATCAGCAACAGCAATTGATTTGATATTAGTATCCGACAACAGCAGGATCTCACAAAGTGGTGTAGTACCTATTGGAATTAGTGACCATTATTAAACCTTTTGTACAAGGAAATTAAGGAGCCTTGACAAAGATTCTACTGATCATAATACAGTAAATTTACGTTCAATGAAAAATTACAGCAAAGTTATCTTCCAGGAAAAATTATCAACTCTTGACTGGATGTCTATTCTATATTGTGATGATGTTATCAAAGCATGGTCTATTTTAAAAAATATATTTTTGAGTGTTATTGATGAAATTGCTCCAGTGAAGCAAACACGCATGAAAACTCGAACAGAACCTTGGATGAGCAGTGATTTACTCGATTTGATTCAACAGAGAGATAAACTTTGTAAAAATTTTAAAAATCCCGTAGTGAAGAAGATTTAATACTTTATAAACTAATTAGAAATCAAGTGCAATATCAAATAAAAAAGTGTAAAACTGATTTTATCAAACAAAATATTGAAGACCACAGGACTGACTCGAAAAAGTTATGGAAAACATTAAAAGGTTTAGGTGTACCATCAAAAAAAGTCTCATCGTCTTCAAATATAGGTTTAAACATCAATAATAGTTTATGTTTTGATAAATTTTGTGTTGCTGAAAAATTTAATGAATTTTTTACGACTGTTGCTCAAAAGTTAGTTGAAAAACTTCCTACTAGTATGAATAATTTTGGAAGAAACTTTATATTATATTTTTATAGTAAAAATATTGTTGTACGTCACAGTTTTTCTTTATCTGTTGTTACTAAGGGAACTGTAATTAAGTACTTAAATAAACTAGGGGCCAATAAAGCTACAGGCTTGGATGGTATACCTGCGCGATTTGTAAAGGATAGTGTTCACAACATTGCTGAACCCCTTACTCATATACTTAATTTGTCCATTATTACTGGTATTGTTCCAGATGATCTCAAGTCTACCCGTGTTGTCCCTTTGTATAAAAAGAATAATAAGACTGAACCTGGTAATTATCGACCAGTGTCTATTTTAAGTGTAGTGTCCAAGGTCCTTGAGAGAATTATTTATGACCAAGTAGAGAGTTACTTATCAGAGAATAACCTACTTTATACCCATCAGTCTGGTTTTAGACATATATATTCTACTGACACTTGCCTTTTACACCTTACAGATTTCATTAAATTTGAAATGGATAAAGGTAATTATGTTGGTATGGTCCTTTTAGATTTACAAAAGGCATTCGACACTGTCGATCATAATATTTTACTCATGAAACTTGATGCTATGGGTTTTTCTAGTGATGTTATTCACTGGTTTAGGTCTTACTTATCTAGCCGTACATAAATGGTCAATGTCTCCGGTGTACTTTCATCTAGCGCCAATGTAACTTGTGGGGTACCCCAAGGTTCGATCCTTGGCCCTTTCCTATTCTTGATTGATGTTAATGATATGGAGGCTGTGGTTCGTAATAAATTGCTTCTGTATGCTGATGACTCAGGTATTTTAGTATCAGGTAAAGATATCCAGTATATTACCTCTCAGCTTACTGATGATCTCAGCAGTGTGTGTAAGTGGCTCACTGATAATAAACTTTCCTTACATCTTGGAAAGACAGAGTCTATTCTATTTGCGTCTAAACCAAGACTTAGGTCATGTGATCAACTAAATATTGTATGTAATGGTACTACAATAACATCCTCCAAATCTGTTAAATACTTAGGTGCTGACCTAGATCAATGTCTATCTGGTGAGTCTATAGCCAACCAGGTAATTAAGAAGGCCAATGCAAAACTTTAGTTTTAATATAGAAAAAGTTCATTTTTAAATAGGTATACTAAACAGCTTTTAGTTTCTTCATTAATACAATGTCATTTTGATTATGCGTGTGCCTCCTGGTATTTAGGGTTGAGTCAAAATCTAAAAAATAGACTTCAGGCCACACAGAATAAGTTGGTGAGATTTATACTTAATCTCAGTCCCCGTACTCATATAGGGAGGGCTCATTTTGAGGAAGTTGGTTGGTTACCAGTACATCTGAGGGTAAATTTCCTTATTCTTGGTCATGTACATAAGATACATAACAATAGTGCACCTAGTTATTTAAATGAGCATTTTCAAATTGCAAATGAGGTACACTCTTACTCCACTCGATTTTGAGATAGTAACAGTTATTCTATTCCAAGAGTTAAGGGTTTCCGTAAGAAAACATTTGCATTTAATGGTTGTCAGGAATGGAACAGGTTACCAACACATCTTAGGTTCATAGCAAGTCGTGATAATTTAAAAAAATCTCTTAAGGAACATTTTATGCAATCAATATCTGTTTAGTCATTTTAATCTAGTCATCTTACCTAGTTTTTATTTATATATTTTTTATGTTTAGTGCATATTTTAGTAGTACCTATTCATTGTCAAACATATCTGTCATAATAATTATGATTATAATACATGTGTGATAAATTTTGTGATGGAAATACTTATGTGCAATAATTGATATAAGAAATTGTGATTGAATAATTTATGTGCAATACTTAATAATTAGTAAATATTTTGCCTTTTTGGTGTCATATGATCAATTCTAAGGACCACAATGGAAGTAAGTCGGCTTATGCCTTCTTTTTGTGTCATCCTTGGTATTGAATATATGGCATCAACACATGCACTTTCATGTTTACATGTATCTCTTGATGTTGACATTGAATTTGTTGTTGTTTTATGACATGTATTTTTTACCAGAATAAAACTATCTATAAACCTAGTGTAATGTACCAAAATCATCAAAGATATTAGTCAACAAATAAAGACTCTATGATAAACCAAATATAATGTACCAAAAATATCAAAGATATTAGACAACAAATAAAGACTCTATGATAAACCGAGTGTAACAGAAAGAAAATTGACACAATAAACTGGTCAGTATTCAAACTTATTTACGTTGTCAGGAAACATCTCCGTGTATTTTCATATGAACTCTCATGTTGTACTTCTGAACAAAAGATTTTCCACAAACCGGGCAGAAAAATTTTGGCGGGAGATGAATCCTGAAGTGTTTTTTCATATCTTGTTTTACTTTGAAAGTTTTGTGGCACTCTGGACAAGAGTAGGGTTTATCTTCGGTATGGTATTTTTTATGAGTTGTCAAAAAATCCGCTCGTTTAAACTTCTTTCCACACTGCTCACAAACAAAGGGTTTCATATCTGAAATTTTATTTTTTTACCTTTATAACAATAAATTTCTAGATAAGAAAAAAGTTATTAAAGTCATCTATTTCTTCTGGTTTTGGCTATTTATTGCCACAAATACAAAATATGCTGCCACATAAACAAGGACTTCTAAAACATGGACTACTCATATTGTTCAGATATATTATCAATGGACTAAATAATGAATTAATTACATCATCATTCAATCTGGGTCATTCATCATGTGACCATGGGAATAAAAAATTTTATATTGGGGATTTCAAATTATTTCAAGTTTTATTATTAAAGCTGCATGCCTCCAGATGAGCGAAAAATATTTCAATAAAATCAAATTTGAGAAAAATGTACTAAGATTTTACAAAAAGTAAAAATATTCACGATTCAAGTAATAATTTACTTGTTATGTGCGATTAATGACTGATTTTTCAGTATTTATAACTATATTTCTAATGCGTTACTAACGCAGTATGGCCAATTTTTGCATATTTTGTTCTCTCTTACGTGGGATGTAAGTGCTATTGATAATTCTAAATTGCATCCTTTTGGTTATTTCACTTAATAATACTTTTAAACACAATTTCAAAATTTTCATGAAAAATCAAAATTAGCATGAATCTGGAGGCGTTCTGCTTTAAGATGTTTTAAATTTATCATTACGATCAATAGCCTTACAGAGTAAATTCAAACCATACAACAATATACTGATCTCAAATGTTAATATCTACACCCCTAACAAAAATATATAATCTCTACACCCCTAACAAAAATATATAATATCTACACCCCTAACAAAAATATATAATCTCTACACCCCTAACAAAAATATATAATATCTACACCCTAACAAAAATATATAATCTCTACACCCCTAACAAAAATATATACTATCTACACCCGTAACAAAAATATATAATCTCTACACCCCTAACAAAAATATATAATCTCTACACCCCTAACAAAAATATATAATATCTACACCCCTAACAAAAATATATAATCTCTACACCCCTAACAAAAATATATAATATCTACACCCGTAACAAAAATATATAATCTCTACACCCCTAACAAAAATATATATAATATCTACACCCCTAACAAAAATACATAATATCTACACCCCTAACAAAAATATATAATATCTACACCCCTAACAAAAATATTTTTCAAAGTTATTTGGACATTAATTATACTTAATGTTTTTTAAGTTAATCATGATTGAAAACTTTCTGTAGTAGATAGTTATAAACTAATGTTTTCCAGAATGATTTTAATCATAATAACAAGGTATACAAGTATAACACTAACCTGAATGTGTTCTCATATGGACCCTTAGTAAAGCTGCATATTTAAACCTCATTGGGCAAGCTGGACATAAAATATTCCTTTCCTTGATGTGTACTTGTCTGAAATACAAAGTAGATGCTAATAAATGCACAAGCATAAGTAATAACTAGAAATGTGCCATCACCCCACGGATGCCCTAGCATGCAGCCAAAATTTCAGATGTTATAATATTTAGTTCCAAATTTGTTTGCCCAAACTTTTTTTTCATTTTAAGTTCAAAGCCCTTAAAACTAACACAATCTATTTTTATACAAAGTTCAAGGCACTGAAACTCTTCAGTGTTAGCCTTTTATAAATTGCATATTTCATATTTGTAGCAAAAATAATGGCTACATACATTTCCACAAAAGTATGAGTGCTGAAACTGAAAATTAAAAATTATCCCAACATTTAAGAGAGATAACTTTGTTCAAAATCATTGAACCATGACCAAATTCAAACTTGAACTGCTTATTCCTAATATGTATCTTTTTGTCAAATTTGAGTTGAATGTGTACAACCATTGATAATGAACGGAAACTTAAAATATCTGATTATTCTTTCAAAGTTCATGAGGGATAACTCTGTCAGCTATCATCAAACCATGACCAAATTCAAACTTGACCAGCGTATTCATATGACATTTCCATATACTACATTTGAGTTGAAAATGTGCAACTGTTAAGAAGATAGTGAACGTAAATTGAAAATTTCATCAAGGGACATAACTCTGTCAAAAATCATATGACCATGACCAAAATCGAACTTGAACTGTATTTTCTCATGATATATCCATACGCCAAATTTAAGTTGAATGTGTGCAACAGTTACAGTGGAACCTGTCTAATCCGAACTTGTCCGGACCAGAAGAAAAGTTCGGATTAGAAAGGTTTCCGGATAAGAAAGGTTTCCGAATAAGAAGGTTTTTTTTACATGTTTTTTCATGTTATTTGCAAAATAGTTTAAGGAAAGAAAACGGGAATGCATTTGAAATTGCAATTTAAATATTTTATTTTTGCAATCTCTTATCGTTCGTTTTAAGACATGTGAATACAAAAATAAAGAAATAAAAATAAATAAATAAGCAAAAATATTATGTCCTCAAAGGTAAGTTAACCTACGATATTTAACAGGAGGCCGAGACATGATTAAATATTCGTACCAGCATTTGTCAATTGTTGTTTACTCTTATCCGAGTCAGCGATTATCCGAATTCACTGACAGTTTCCATTAATTTTCATTACTTAATCACATCTTATTGAATCCATTACAAAGGATTAAAAGATATTTCTATTGCATTATATCAAAATATTAATTGAAGGTGACGAAAAACAATCAATTAAGCAATTATAGAAGATATCAAATCAAGCTAAGTGTAATTTTCACACCTTCGCAGATCATACGTTTCACCCATTAATCAAGCGAAATAACACTTATCAGTTGGTGTATGTTTACACCTGCAAGATGTGCGATTATTTGTGATTTGCAATGAAGGTGTGACATTTGGCAAAATCTGTTCGGATCCGAGAGGTAAATTTTAGAGTAAAATAAGAACAAAAATTGAAAAAAATCGTCCGCAATTCGGAGTAGACACGTTCCGGATCCGAAAGGTTTTTTACTATTGAAAATAGAACGAATAAAATCGGGACCGGACACTTCGTTCGAATAAGAAAGGATTCCGGATTAGAAGGGTTCGGATTAGCAAGGCTCCACTGTACTAAGATAATGAACGGAAATTGATGATGACGGAAGGACCGAATGACGAACAGGCCCCATCCATTTTATGGCAGGGGCATACAAATAATTAATGAAGGTTTCCGCTTTTCATGGAATGGCACTAACTTGTCACATTGAAGGTTCCATGATAACCGTCAGATGAAAACATCTGCAGATGTTTCAAAATTCAAAATAATACCATTTTATGATAAATGTTGAAGTCAGTGCTAGTGGTGCAGACGGTAGCTTGCAATTACAATTACCGTCCATGAACAAGCTCAATCAAACCAAGTCTGCAACATTTTCAATTTTGCCTTGTTGGACTTTCTTTATAGATTCTGTTTTTCTGTATTTTAAACGTTATTAAACGTTATTATTTAAACGTTATTTTGTACGTTTACGTCATTTTTATATATGTATCAACTGAGGAAGCTTAATAAAGCGAAACATGTTTTGATACTTAATTTATGTTGGTTTTTGATCCAATTATCCTATAAACGTTATTATCATAATTCAATTAATGTAAAGATCATACTTTCAAAAATACCTGCACTGACCATGTTATGAGTTACGAGTAGTCCAGATGTTAAAATGAAATATACTTATTTTGTTTAAGGTAAGGCCAGTTTTTCTTTTGCAGTTCTGCATCAAATTAAATTCTTTGAACAATTTACAAAAGGTGACCAAAAGAAATACATTCCTGTTAAGTTGATGTTAAAATTGGCTTGGCTGGTTATGAGGATATGTCGTTTAAAGTAAAAGTTTATGGATGATGGACGATGATGGCTGGATGCTAGATGAAAAGCGACCACAAAACTTCACCTTAAAGTGACAAGTAAGCTGAAAAAAATACCTATGTTGTTTGAGATAAGGCCAGGCTTTAAAGCTCTTCCCACACTCATCACATGTAAATTTCTTCTCATCAGTATGAACTTGTTTTATATGTGTTCTCAATTGAAACTTACAGTTGTACTGAAATAGAAAAATATGGTTTTGATGATCAATTTATGAAAGTCTTATTAAAACAAACAACATAAACTTAATAGAAAACAAGAGGGCCATGATGGCCCTGTGGTCGCTCACCTGTATATAGGCCCCAAAAGCGGGGCCAGTTTAAACCCCAGGGCTTTTATTTGAACAAACTTGGAAGACACCCATAAGAAAATGTTTCATGATGTTAAAGGTCCTGTATGTTTTGTAATTGAGATTGCATACCACTCTTCATTGAATTATAAATGTATGTAATTATGCAAATTTGTCAATTTTCAAACATGGAAGAATATGTAAAATATTTATTGCAAATATTTGTAAATATTTAAGGTAATCATTAAATTATATGCATTCATTTTTTATTGGAAAAACTAAATTCTAATTACCTCCCTTTATTTACATGAAATATTAAATTCGGTAATATCTTTATAAATAATGTTTTTTGAAACTTACAATATTGATAAATCTTAATTTGAGCATCATAATTTGTATATAAAACCATAAAAATAATGTGTTACAGGATCTTTAAGTTTTTACTACACACATATAATGAAAAACAATTATCTGCCCCCTCCCTAACCCCTGCAGGGCCAATTTTAACCTAAGGGCTTTTATTTGAACAAACTTGGTAGACACCCATAAGAAGATGTTTCATGCTAAACGTCTAAGCTGTAGCTCATTGGGTTTTTTAAAAGAAATTTTTTTAAGTTTTTACCATACACATATAGTTAAAACAATGACACCTTTAGGGCGGGGCCAGTTTTGACCCCAGTGCTTTTATTTGAACAAACTTTGTAGACACTTTCTAGAACATGTTTCATGCTTAATATCTAAACTCTAGCTATTTAGGTTTTTTCAAAGAAGATATTTAAGTTTTAACTATACACATATAAGGAAAATCAATGACCCACAGGGCAGGGCCAATTTTGACCCCAGGGCTTTTATCTGAAAAAACATTGTAGACACTCACTAGAAGATGTTTCATGCTTAATATCTTTACTCTAGCTATTTAGGTTTTTTCAAAGAGATTTTTTAAGTTTTTGCTTGGATATACACATATATAAGGAAAATCAATGACACCCGGGGCGGGGCAAATTTTGACCCCAGGGCTTTTATTTGAACAAACTTGGTAGACACCCATAAGAACATGTTTCATGGTAAATATCTTAGCTCTAGTTCTTTGAATTCTTTAAAAGAAGATTTTTAAGTTTTTACTATATGCATATAGGGAAAATCAATGACCCCCTGGGGCGGGGCCAATTTTGACCCCAGGGCTTTTATTTGAACAAACTTGGTAGACACTCACTAGAAGATGTATCATGCTAAATATCTTAGCTCTAGCTCTTTTGGTTCTTTAAAAGAAGATTTTTTAAGTTTTTACTATATGCGTATAGGGAAAATCAATGACCCCCTGGGGCAGGGCCAATTTTGACCCCAGGGATTTTATTTGAACAAACTTGGTAGACACTCACTAGAAGATGTTTCATGCCAAATATCTAAGCTCTAGCTCTTTGGGTTTTTTAAAAGAAGATATTTAAAGTTTTTTCTTTCAGTTGCCATGGCAACCAGAGTTCTGCATGGAATTAAATTCTTTGAACAATTTTTAAAGGTGACCACCAAAGGAACATTCCTTTGAAGTTTGGATGAAATTGGCATAGTGGTTTATGAGGAGATGTCATTTAAAGTAAAAGTTTACGGACCGACGCCGGACGAAAAGCGATCACAAAAGCTCACCCTGTCACTTTGTGACAGGTGGGCTAAAAACCTATTTGTACACAAATTTTCTATGTTAAAAACATATATGTACACAAATTTTCTATGTTAAAAACCTATTTTGTATGTTAATGAATACCATTTTTCTTATCCATTCCTAGAAAAGAAACAGGTAAGTACAGAATCACTGGAACATATGCCAGATGTATCTGTTAAGAGAATTGTTGGATAGTACTTGACAGCTAGTACCTTGTATGTCACTCAGTACAATAAATAAACTTTCAAAAAAATACAGTATGAAAAGTAGAACTCTAAAGAGCTTATCTTCCACTCCTTACCTTTTCTAACTTGTTATTTTTATTGTGGTGTAAATCAACATGAATTATGTGTGTTTTGAAATAAATATGTTTAAACTAACAGTATAAGAGGCAGGGTTTTTCATTTTTAACTGAGGCAACAGATGTGCCAATGAAAACAATCAATTTGGTCAAGGGGGCTATTTTAATCTACAGACTGATATTAATACAGATTTTTACAGCATTTGAACTAATGAAATAGGTCGCCAATCTATTAATAATTAAAACCTTGTAGGGGTATTAAAGCAGCACGCCTCCAGATTCATTAAGTTTTATAAATTTTAAACAATGTTTTTAACGAGTTATTAAAATTATTTTAATTACCTTGAAGGTAAATGATTGAACGGTTCAACAGTCAAAAATTAAATTATTAAAGCTTAGTCTAAAACGCGAAACCATAATTTTTAAATAACGTCAAAATATTCAAAAATAATATTGACAGCGTTAGTAACGCAGTAGAAATATGGTTGTAAATACTGAAAAATCAATCATTAATCGCACATTACCTGCAAATTATTTTTCTTTCCCTAAAATCTTAGTACATTTTTCTCAGGTTTGACTTTATTGAAGTATTTTGGCTTATTTAGAGGTTTGTTTGTTTCATTTTACGCCTTTTTCCAACAGTATTTCAGTCATATGGCGGGTAGTTTCCTAACCATCGTTCCTGGAGAGTTACACCAGTACTTGACTACCTTCCTCTAGGCTAAACTACCAAAGCATCTCCCGGGGATCGAACCCACCCCAGAGGGCATGAAGCTTCAAATGACAACTACATTGTATATACCAAATTTTCACACTGGTCACATGACATTGTCCTCTCCTTGTGTGAAATCATGTGTCTTCGAATACACTGGCGTTTAACAAAAGTACCACAAATTTCACATGGAAACATCTGATCTCCTTTCTTCTACAATAGAAAATATTGTTAACTAAACATATAATTGAACAGAAAACAAAAGCACCACTAGGCAGAGCATTATATGCCCGAAAAGTGCTTTTCTTTTTAGTAAGAATGAAGCATTTGTAAGGCATGGGAATATTTCATACGAATATCATATTATGAATAATTGTGGAAAACTAAGTAGAGATAAAAGATACCATTCAGAAGCTTCTTTTTATTCGTGATGAGCATAAGTCACTCAGTTGTAATGTATAATGTATAGTTGTAAGTGGTGTTGGATGGATAGCTTCTAAAGAATCTACTGTTTGAGAATGTATGTTGTTCTCGAAAGCCAATCCAGCATATCAAGTAAAAATGCTTCGACTGATGGAAGGAAAAACGCCAGGGGTATAACATAATATTAGCAAACTTTTTACAGCATATAATTAATGTACTCAATATAAATGATCATCCTATGAAGTTTGACAGTTGTAAAACTGTTAACAATATTAAGGTCATTTGATATTGACCTTTGACCTTGTGACCCCAATATAGATATGGATCTTTCATTTAATATAGGCAATCATCCTATGAAGTTTGAACACTGTAAGCCAAATGCAACTTGTGTTTAGCTCCAGAAACCAGAATTTTCAGTGTTGAGACCATTGTGACCCTGACCTTATGATCCTTAAATCAATAGGGGTCATGTATTGGACATGGCTGTTCATTCTATAAAATTTTACAGCTGTAGGTTGATTAATACTTAAGTTATTGAGCGGAAACTGTTTTAAGGTAATTGTGACCTTGACCTTTGACCTTGTGACCCATGAGTCAACAGGGTCTTCTACTTAATATGGACAATCATCCTATGAAGTTTGAACATTGTGGGCGACATGGAACTTAAGTTATGCTTTGGAAACCAAATTGCTAACAGATTGACGGACATCCAACCAAATAGGGATAAAGGGCCATTTCTTTTGTCACCTTCTTTTGTTTAGTAGAGCCCATTTTCTGAGGGCCATGGCCCCTATTCTATTGTTATGAAATGAATTCTATTGTTCTCTTTTGTTCTGTTTACAGTAAGATGGCCCCTATCACTATTTGGTAGTGTGGACAGACAGACAGATGGATTGACGCCAGGGGACGTAACATAATATGTCCAAAATTCTTTTGCGCATATAAAAAGAAGATAATTCCTACAAACAAATTAATTTCTCTTTCTATACAGTGTAAGTTTTATATAATGCTTTTCTGAAGTGAAATGCAGGAAAAGTAATAAATTCGCAGAAATACAAACTTACATTTACTTGTTGTTGTCAATAAATAACAGATGTCAAATACACATTTAGCAAATTCCTACATTTTAAGATTTTATCAAATCAAACAATGCCAAAGTAATAACAACTCTCTCAGCTTATCAAACTAATGGAATGTATTGTTAACTATACTTTTTCTTGTATACAAACTTGATATGGGCTTATAATGCTTGATGGTGTTAAAAAAATCAATCTCAATTCAATAAATTAAATTTTCATGCAATTAGTCATTCACTAACCTTAGAGCCTTTTGTCACCTCTTGCTTAATATTATCTTTTTTACATGTTGTTTTGTCATGCTCATCATCAGCAGCAGCAGCAGCAGTAGTAGCAGCAGCAATAACATCATCATTATCAGCCTTTACATCATTAACATCACTAATATCACCAACAATGTTTGAAGACATGTCTGTATCAGTGTAATCTTTTTTAATCCTGCTTATATCCTTCCTTTTTACCCTTTTCCTTCCAGTAGGTGTGACATTATTAACAGCAAGGGCTTTACTTCTACCTTTTTTCTTGCTCTTCTCAATGTCCTTTTTATACCTCTTAGATTTAGATTTTCTACCTATGTTAAACACATGTTTATATTCTGTGATTATTGTTGTGTCAGACTGGTTCCCTGAATCGTCGTGCAAACAATTATTGTCAAGATTTTCTTCTGATAACTTTACACTGGTTTCTGTCTTAACACTGTCTACATATGTGTTGTCATTCGAATGTGATTCAGTCCTTTTTCTAGTTCCATATGTATGTGCCACATTATCTGCCAACCATTTATGTTCAGAAACATTTTCATGATAAGCATAAACAGTATTTTCACTTCTCTTAAACACAAAGTCATCTGTAAACTCGGATTCTATCAAATGTTCATGTAGTGTACACAATGTGGGAAACTTCATACTACATAAACCACAAGAAAACAGAGTAACTGTCCCTTCTACTGAAGCAGCAGACTTATCACAGCAGTGTAAGAATGTATTCATCTTTTCATGCACTGAAATATGCTTAAAATACACTGACAAAGATTTAAATTTCTCATTACATATACCACAGACAAAGGGAAATATTGTCAAAATATCATCTGCAATACAAAAGTTATCACCAATTGCTTTTTCTGTTGCATTTTCAGTCAATGACTGGGGTTTATCATTCATATCATCATCAGCCCATTTATTTAATAAAGATTTATCGGCACTTTCTGTGCTAGTAGTATTGCTTTGAACTGTAATGTAATGTCCTAAACTTATTGGTTCATATCCTGAGGTGTTAACAATCTCTTGTCCATCAGACAAATCAATTCTTGAGTTGTCATCTAAATTCCTTCCCTGTCTAATATGTTCAATATTTTCAAGTAGTTCATTTTCTTGTTTAACAATACCTGACATAATTTTATCATAATTTATGGAAACTGCATGTGTATCCATTTCTGAGTCTTCCATGGTTTTTGATTATCTTGACAGAATTATGTCAACCTTTACAAAATAATTCAAGATTTATAAGTCCATTAACATCATAAATGTCAGAATGTCTCATTCATTGTCATTCATTTTGCAGATCAGTTAAATATACTAATCCATGATGATTCATTCTTATTGAAATCTAAATACAAATTGTAAATCTCATGAACTGTAGACTGAACATCACCAGATGTCACATTTGTTCATGTGGTCAGATAATTACATTACTATATCACTGAGGAAATCTTGCTTTAACTACAAGTAACATGTTATTGTTATAAATAATATTAGTGAGTCAATAATGTTAACCCAATGCTCCAAATGACCGATCATATTTAGTCCAAAACATTAAAGTAAATTGTTATAGTGTATGTTTAGCATTGCAAAGAAGTAAAAATATCACAAAGCAATGTCATATATTTATAGGACAAGACCATATTTTGTTATCCTTCGGGTGGATTAGATGACAGTCGTAACTGTACCTTCATTACACTGTTGAACCTGCAAAAGAATGTTCAAAATTGTAACTTCACCTGTGACTGTATCTTGTGTTTATTCTATACAATTTTGAGATGATTAAATTAAGAACAAGTTGATAGATAGAAGAAAGATATATATATATCTAAGTTTCACTCAAGTTTACAATCAAAATCAGTGGTGCAATATCGGACTTAAATTGTAAGAGTTATACAAAAGCAATCGCCCGTAATTTTATTTGTGAATTAGGAAAAATAACCTTATTTAAGTTTATTGTACATATTTTGACATTAAAATTTGCATAAGAATGTGTTGGCGGTTCACCTTTAAAGGCCCATTAAGCCTAAAAAATGTTCAAATTTTATTTTTTCAAAAGCTTTTTACTTTTGTTGTCCTGTTAGTTTCTTAAAAAAAATTTTATTGACCTTATAAGCTTAGTCATATTTTGCTATGGCAATTTGTACAATTATTATAAAATTTTAAGTATTTTGTATGGAAGTCAAAATACTACTTCATTTACATTTTGCTATCTTTGTTACAAATTATTACACATGCAGCAATATCTTCTTAGAACTTAAGGGTGTTTTTCTTGTTTCATACCTTTTTGTACACTATATATTTAAATGGCATTGCATGTTTAACAGAACAAATATAATCTATATTCATAAATACATTTACTGTACATACAATCAGACAAAATTATTACTGAAGAAAGAAAGAATCTGGTGTTGGTGGTTAAATTTTACCCTTGGGATTACAGCAGTTAAGTTCTGGAGAAAGGATGATTCCTCAGAAGCATTAATTATAACAAAATTACAAGAAAATTGCAGACTTGGCTTGATTGAGTGGTAGTAGGACAGGGCGGACCATACCAGGGCGGACATCATGTTTGAGCAGGGCGGACAATAGTTTGGGACAGGGAGGACCGTCCAAACATCCCTTAAAAGGTACCACTTATATAAGGAAAAAAATCACTGCTGTACCTCACTCTGGTAGTATGGTAGATAACTGTAACTGTTATGCCAGAGCAGGGGTAGAAATGATTTCATGATCAATCAAAATGGAAGTGACTTGCATCATCCAGGAATCAAACCTGGGTCACCCAAATCACCCAATGATGGCAGCACTTAGTGTACTAGTTGCGTGCACAGTTGGATTTAGACCGATCTGACCACTAACATATTTAATATTCATTCGTTCATGACAGAGTGAATCGCTATTGTTACATTGATATTCATTACACTAATTTGTGGACAGCTTTCAAATACATTGTACTTGCATTTATCAGTCTGTATCACAGGCACAAGTATCAGACCTGGGAAGAAAAAATATGACCAGATTGATGATAAAACCTGTGTCCATCATAAAAGTGTCAAAAACCAACATAAAATTGTAAATAATGACCCCCTATAAAAATATACTATAAGTTAAGTTATAGTATAGAGTGATTGGACACATCCTTGATCAGCCAGGTCCTCGATCAAAATTTTGTTTTTTTGTATCGTTTTCAAATAAACTTGATAAAACACAAACTTTCTTTGCTTTGTTTTTCCAACACATGTAAGTACTTTACTAAACTCCCACTGAAGAGTATTTATGTGAGGTCAAAGTTCACGCAGCAGACGATTCTAAAAACAATGGCGAAGTGAAAGTAGAAATTACCCAATAAAAAAGTATGTGCATCTTTTCTCCTTAGCTCTAATAAAAATGACAAAAAAAACTACTTTTGATAATTTTACAATTTTTTTTTCTACATAACAAAATAAAGTAAGCTTTTAGCTCTTTTCCCAGGAAGGGGGTGGGTCAATTTCCTACAGTAATCTAGGTCAGGGATCAGCCATTAAGAAAAGATGCTAAATATATGCATATTTTGCCCAAAATACATATTTTCCGCTTTCATAAGAATAATAAGATATTTTTACATTTTGTCCACAATATCAACAGTAAAAAAGTAGTAAATTAAAGGATATATAAACACATAGGTTACAAACCACTTTATTTTACTGTTTTTTTTCCCCCTTGGTTTAACGCCACTATATTTTTCCCCTTTGGTGACACTCAATTATATATTTTCAGCAATGCCTAGGTCTCAGAGGACCCACCAAGATCAAATATATAGCGAGGCAAAACGTCTTGTGACCCAGGGCTAATCCATACGTAAAGCAGCTATTGAATTAGGCCTTCCTTACACCACTGTACAGAACCATTTCAATGGGAAATACAAGGGTTATATTACAAAATTTGGGGAAGAGTGTATGTTAAAGCCTGTGGATGAACAAATTCTGATAAATTATGCAACATTCATGACATCAAGAGGCTGTCCTCTTTCTAGATTATTTTTTAAAAAATGTTGCAAGAGAGATTATAATCAGTCGTGGAGGTGATAAACGCATGGATCCCAGTCAAGGATCTCAAATAATTCATTTTTATTTTATTCACATTTCTTTTAAATATAAACTCCAAATTTTGTCATACAAGTACTAGTTTAAATATTTTTTTACATTATCATGTCAAAATTAGCTGATCGACGACGTGTCCATTATCCCAAGAAAATTTCAAATTTGGTGGTCTATGACATATGTTGTTATTGTTAAGTTTAATGGTTGCTCCCTTGCTTAAAATAGTTAAAATATGACGTTTTACAAGAAGAGTGTCTGGTGATATTTTTCAACGAAAAATATTACTCATACGGGGCAAGTTTAATTTCCTGGGTGTAATTTTACAATAAAATTGATCGAGGACATGTCCACTGAATCTACATGTGTATAATTTAGTTAGGCTTTGATGAGGTATATATTAATATACGTACCTGCTAGGGACCTATATCTTAATCTACACCTGAAATTACTCAATTTTATCATGCACCAAATACAAATATGAAATAAACCGATAATTAAAGATACAAAATTCCATGAGTTTTAATGAAATTATCACTTTTGCTTATCTTGTGAACAAAAGGTGACTTTGCGTCAAGGGGGAATAACTTTTGTGGTAAAACTTGCACATTTTATAAACAGCATGTGTTCCAAATAACTAAGTAAAAGAGAAAATGGATTGATACCATAGCTCGAAGCTAACCTTTGGAATTTGGATAAGACTATTTTGTACAGGTAATTACATTGTATACACACCGGGCGGTTATCAAATATTGACAGCAAGACGCAGGTAATTATAGTATTTACCTCCCTTAGTTTCGCACGCCATTTGTAATCAGGCAAGGCGGCGAAGGTGAGGTGGCGAAAGACAACTTGTGCGGTAATATATTTCTCTGTTTAAGTAAAGATAATCTTAAAAGTTATATGTTATTTATTTTCAACTGGCTATACTGTATATACTGATAAGCCATTTTGAATAACATGGACATGTGATAAGTTATACCGTATTCATTTGTTTGGTGATTGATTTGGTTTTCACTAGGGGGATGCAAAGAGGAAGTAGGTCACTTTTTTTTTTTTTTTTTTTTTTTTTTAAAGACAGGGCTAAGAATTTCGAAAGATGAAACATTATAACACGTTAAAGGTATGCATGTATGAATAATATTACAGTAAGCCTAAAGCAGTTAAGCTTCACATTCATTTTTCAAAACGTGAATTTTTTTAATGTTCAATAGTTCATGCAGATTTGACTAATATTGAAAAAGAAAAAAGCTTCAAAACTGCGGTTTATGTCTAAATGGACTACATTAAGGCTATATCCTGGAATACAAGTTTTACTCCTGAAAAAAATACATAGGGGTCTAATCTACAGGAGATTAAAATAACATAAAATTGTCACTAGTCAAATGGACAATGCCTCTACTGTGTTTGAACCCTTTTACTGTTTAATGTGTTGTGTTTAAAACTCTTTTACTGTTTAAGGTGTTTTCTCAAATTTTAAGGGTATTGACAATTTGTGCTGGGGCTTGCATCACAATTAAGTTTAATTCTCAAGTATGAGTTTCCATTCACCGGATAATTAACAGCTAATATACAATTATTGTCTGGTTTTTGCAGTATTTTCATATTTTCACCCTTTTTCTGCTTCATGACTAACAAACATAATAAGGGTTTTTTTTGCATATTATAACCTTTTTTTTTGGTAAATTTATATCTTTATATTTAAAGTGCCGATTGCAATGTGTAGATTTCTTTCGTTGTTCACATAACAATATTTTAGACATTTTCACGTTTTCATGAAAATGGAGGCATACCGTTTTAAATATTTTATGCTGAAATCAATATGAATTACACTAAATAATTTTATGTATTTTCGGTTTAATTTCTGAGTATTTACGGAATATTATGTTGAAGTAGCTTTCTGAGGCTTTGTATTTTGCTACGAGCAGTGAAGGAAAATTGATATCAAATTCTTCAACGTTGCGAGTAGAAAAATACATAGCCTCAGAAAGCTACTACAACATAATTTCTTTTTATTATATTCTTTTTTGTTTTATTCAAAAAATAAAATGTAGTTGTCAAGAAATAAATTTATGACTGACGGATGAATATGTAATTCTTGCAAAGCCGGCCAGCCTTTAATAATTTTGGTTAAAACACTTGTTACTATATGTGACGCGCTCAGCGATTTTTGGCCCAATTGAGTTTTTAATCATTGTGAGAAAAACGCTTGTAAAGTCACGCGAGTTTTCATGTCTTAATTTTTAGGGTTTCCCTTCAAAACAGAGTATCTTTGAAAGTAGAAAGAATAAAATAAACTAAAAAGAAATAAAAAAAATACTTTTTGAACAGCCCTTCTCAGCTTCCACAATAAACATTTCCCAAAAATCTATATTTAGAATAAATACACTGTGTAAACTTAGGAGTCAGGTCAGCGAGTAAACACATGTAGATTCACTTCCTTTTACGTTGTGTTAAGTACTGCATATTTGGAGGTTTAAATAAATATAAAGGTATGTGCATATTTTATTATTTATGCTTTTTCTGTTCATTATTTTTTTCTGATATATTTTGAATATGAATAATCATCGTATTTTTACTTTAAACAATTAAATAAATGGGACCATGACACTTGAACTGGTTTATATAAAAAAAACATGGCCGGCATCTAGGTCAGGTTATGACAGACACATTTCTGGGATACATTGTTTATTGCACTCGATTTGTATTTGTCATGGTCTTTATAGAAAGTTATTGTTAACTTTTTTTCTAAATTAGACATTGATTTTTTTACAAAATAAATTGAAGTCAAGGCTGCAATAAAAGAAAAAAGAAAACAAAAGTTGGCACTTCATTTTTGTTTACAGTATTTTTTCTACATCACTATGACAAAAAATGTAATTGGACACATAACATATTTTGCAATTTGTTTACAATGAATGAGCTTGACATAGATCTACATCAAGTAGATTTATACTGTATAAAATATTTTAAAAAAAGGAAATATATGACAAGGCTTCAGTACAGGGATAACATTTCCTTTGCTAAATTGATCTTGAATTGTAATAGAAAATCATTTGTCAATAATTACAGTACTGCTGCTTTTGAAATACAATAAATATATCTAGTACTGTGATTGAAGATGTGACCATAGATAAAAATTAAAATGCATTTATTTTTATTAGCCCTTTGCCTTTGGTGGTATCTACAATAAATCATATTATATTCACATTACTCATACCACATGGCATGTTCTACCAGCAGGGTTTCCATTAAATTCCAAACATTGGCAGTCAAAGACTGCAAAATGTATGTAATTGGAAGTCACTTTGTAGGTAAAGAAGGAAAAGCATTACATTTTGGAAGCCAAAATCAAGGTGTAAATGACTCCCAAACTTTAATAACAGAAGCCCTGCTATCAGGATATTTTTAACATTCATGAGCCAGCACTTTTTGCTGATGAAATATTTTGTGTTGTTGTTTTAGGTCTGACAGCCAACATACATTTAAGATCTTCAACTTAGTTCATCAGAGTTTTGAAGTAGATAATATGATTATCCAGCATGTTGGAGCCATATTCTTCAAGGAAATGTACTTGTAAGTGTTTTGATACTTGGTTTAAAGATCAAATGATTTACTATATGAATGTAATCTTTGTATACATATGTAAATAATCATCATAAACTGACCATTCTCAACCCTTTTTATCAAATAATGGTATTGATAAATTTCCTGAAATGCAGTTGAAAGTAATGTAACTTATTTGCAATTTAGCATTTTATATATGATGTAAGATGAGATCTTAAAAAAATTGTTTTAAAATTACATAACTCTGTACAGTAACATGAACTAAATTTTAAGTTTATATTTAAAAATAATGCTGTATTGTTTTATGCAAATACTCTGTAAATAATGTTAAGCTGTTAAAAATATATATACATAATTTTCAGAAGACATAGATAGTTCACCTATTTGCTGATGAATATACTAAACTATTGTTGGAAATGAGGCACAATGTGTGACATAGTTCTATGCCCTATTGAGCACCAGGGTTATGTTAGAGTAAAAAAGACAATCACTTGTATCAACTGTACTGTATTGGTCAAGATAAAAAAACACTTCAATTGGGTAAGCATGTATATATAAATTTATGCAATATTCCACATTTTCTTTACTTTTGAAATAAAGAGTGCAGTGTTCCAACCACAATACATGCACATATGTAGATTCAGATTACTTTAGTCATGTTCAAGATGAATGTTACTGCCACTTGTACATGATATATAGACTGTAATATATTACACAAGAACTAACATGATGAACAAGACATTATATGAACCCAATAGCTGTGCAACACTTTACAACAATTTACTTATAGTTCAATTCTGTTCAGTCAAATATCATATACACTATATTGTAGTCAAATCATCATATACACTATATTGTTTCATTTATACTTATTCAGGTTTTTGTTATTTCAGGGTGGCATGTGAGAAGTCAATGACTTGTCTATGTTTGACAGTATACCAAAAGTGAATTACAATTTTATAGAATTTGTCTTTAGAAGTATCCCTGAAAAAGCTGAATACTACAGTGGCAGGTGTTACAATTTTTTTACTTAATTGTGAAACAAGTTTTATATATGAATCACTTTTTGCTTACAAAACCTGAAGACATATGAGGAGACATAGTTGCTATTACCCTGTTTGGGTCAAACCCTCAACATGGGGTTGAAAAAAAGACTATAATTCAAGGACACAAATGAACTCTCATTTGTGACTTCCCATGTGATTGCTAGAATCTGTTATTGTAATTGTTTTAAATTAATTGAAAATATTTCAATTTAAAAATAAACTAATATGTTATTCATATTATACAATTTAAAACACATTGATCAGAATATGAAACTGAAAATTTAGTCAGGAACATAACTAGTGCAAACCCTTTCTATTTTATTTTTTTTTTTTTTTGGTTAAAATTCTGAGACTTTTGAAGTTATTGTGAAAAGGAATATTTTTTATAAAATGCAATTATTTTAAATCATTCTTTTATTTTTGATTTTTTTTTGTTACCATGGCAACCAAAATACACCATTTTTGCAATCAGTGCATTAAAGAATATTTGTTTTGCATTGGATTCATATTTTATATGCTATCATGTTATAGATGTGCATTTTAAAGTTGACTAACTTAAGTTATGATATTAACCTTAATCATGGAAAAGTTACTGTAATTCTGAGAATTTAATTCTTATGTTTAAAGTTAATATCAATAACTATTAAAGGGTAAAATGAAAAATCCTTTTTTTTTCTGAAAAGTCTTTAATATTGTTGTCTTTTAATATAATATATGCATTAATTTGGTGATGAATTAATCATGTTAAGTGCAAAAATATTGCATTTGATGAATTTTTTTATATTTTTGTTGCCATGGCAACCGATTTTTTGAAAACAAACGATTGTTTTTATATCAAGATATTACATTATATTACACTAAGATGAATGGTCACTTAATTTTTTATTTTATTTTATTGTGTATAATTATGGAATTATTTCTAATTTGTATATACCAATAAAAGTTAAAAATGTAATTTTTGTTGTTATGGTGATGTCATACAAATTAGAATATTTCATAAAATATCAAGTATTTTTTTTAAAAATAATTGTTTCCAGCTATTCAGCAGATGTTGTTCTACCACAAACTAGTCATAACTCATTTTCGCCAAAATATCACATTTGGGCCAAAAATCGCTGAGCTTGTCACATATATAGTAACAAAATCGCCTATGATTTCAACTGATTATGAGTGTCACGTGACCTATTATGAGTTTGCGGCCCGGGCGGAGAACTAGTTATCAGCCTGCTGAACATGTGCACATGCGCAAACTGAAACAATGATGTCACATTTTACGTCATCAAACAGTTAACTGTCGAAGTGAAAGTAGGTTTTAAGTAAGAATCTCTTGATTTTAGGAGCTTAAGCGTATTTCGTACAAACAAAGTTTTATTACCATTGAAATTGAAAGAAATAATACGACACATTCATTCGGAAAAAAAATTAAAATAAAACTTGCTTCCAGATTCTAGAGTAGATCTAGTGCACTTTTAACACACAAAGTAAACAACTCTGTAGAAGTTACTGAACTGTACATACAATAGAAATGCAGACAGGAATTTCAACAAAAGAAATTTCAAAGTATTTTTATTTAGAAAAAAAAATGCTACTATTAGATCTACCAAGTGTATTAAAGACATTAATACATGACAGAGTAGGGCGGGAAGGTGATAATCGGCCCAGAAATGAATAATGCCCTCGGGCTGAAGCCCTTGGGGGCCATTATTCATTTTGCGGGCCGATTATCACCTTCCGGCCCTACTCTGCCGTGTATTAATCTCTTATACCCGTTTTCAAATGGAACGTTATACAAAGCTATTAAAGATCAGAACCAACGTCAAAATTGTCTGACACTTCCATATCTGGTACCATATTTGTCACTAACATAATACAAAAAATTTTCACCGTTGAAGCGTATTTGCGCTTCAAAATTTGCGTGTATTTTAGGGAGAAAATTTATAGGTATATAATAAATTTCAATATTATCTTTTCATATCACTGTTGTTTTATTTAAGTGTCCTAGTTGATGTATGATAAATTTTATGTATTTAGGCTCTTGGCCCTCAGTGATGTTAAATATTATACTCTGTACATTAGTGTCTATTTACCAAAAATGAGTGTTAATCGAATTTATATACAAAGCGTCTATTCCCTAACTTAGTAACTTTAAAAAAAAAAGAGATTACCCGTAATACCTTAAAACAGATTTATTGTACTTTCTTGCAGGAGTCAGCCAGTGACAGAGAGTTGCGACATTTATGTTAACTTGATATGCAGAAATGGCAAACAACCTGCCCAATGGTTTGTATTTATTTACCCTCTTTTGTTAGTGTATACATATAATTGTGCAAACAAAAATTTCAGCAAAATAAAAATCATGGTCAGTATAGCTAAGAATAAAAATAAGTTTACAACTAGTTTAGTTTGACTTTAGATGTTATTTTACAATTTATGGGGCAAAAATTAGGCCCTATTCCCCTTCCCTTTTAGTATACTTTTTTTTTTTATTCTAACTGCCTAAAACTGAAGAACCTTTTAACAATATCATATTTGAAATTTGCTTTTTTTTGCAAAATCCCCTTTTCTTCAAAATAACACAAAATACCCCTACCTGAGAACCCTGACTCAAGTCTCCTTTAAGGTAATTAGGACCCTGCATTATTTATGATACTTTTATTGGTATCTCAGGTGAGTTATTCATGGCCCATGATCCCTTTAGTTGGACTTTTATCACTTTGAATGTAATACTTTAAATTAACACTTGCCCCTCACCGCTGTGGGTTCGAATCTCAACAGGGACTTTGGATTCTTTCATGTGAGGAAGTTCTCCAGCTAGCTTACGCCAAGGAACGTCGGTGGTTCTACTCAGGTGCCCGTTCGTGTCTGAAATAATGCATGGAAGGGCACCTGAGGTCTTCCTCCACCAGTAAAGCTTGAACGTGGCATTATGACCTATACTGTGTCGATGTGATGTAAAACCCAAAACAAACAAACAAAACTTTAAATTAAGACAGGAAAATCAAAATTATTCATCCACTTATCAATCTATTGACCAAACTCAAAAAGTATTGGTTTGCCTCTACAAGCTTGGTCTTAAACTGAGTTCTCAGATTAATTTAAATTCTTAAAAAGATGATGTACCTGCTTGTTTTTCTCTAACCATTAACCACTTGAAATCTCGTGCCAGATTGAAAGGCATTTAGTATAAGGCACTGATGCCAATTATCTATATAATATGTTAATTGAAATCTTGTTTACTATTTGTCTGAATATATATGTAATACAATAAAAATAATGAAAGTTCTATTTTTTTCAGCTGCTCTAGCAAATATTGCATCTGAGAGGGACCTTAATAACATTTCCCAGTGCATTGGTTCTAATTGGGAAATGTTGGGACCTTTTTTAATAGAGAGAAACTCAAAGGCTATAGTAGATCAAATAAAAGAGGATCATAGAACCTGTCTACAACGTGTTTATAATTTACTCATGATTTGGCGTTCACAGACAGACAACCAGTCATTGGCTCGTTTATTTCACTTAATGTATCAAGCTGGTACATCCGTGACAGTTGATTGGTACGAAATTGCTCACAAACTCAATATTGATATACAACATATCCGAGCATGTAAGTTATATTTCTGAATTTTTTTAAATTCTTTTTTATGCAGCTAACTGTTTAGTATTTTCAAAAGAAAAATCGGTTTGCATAAAGTTTTAAATGATATAATAGTAGTTACCTTACTTTTATATAAGGTGTATTTTGATGCTGTTTTTGGCTTACCAAAATGCAAGAGCTATTGTGCTTTGTTTTCAATGGTTGATACTATGTCTTCTTGTAGTTAAAAATCATAAACAATGGATGTCTATTCGGCAACTACATTGTACTAAGTCAATAGCTGTAAAACATCCTTGTCTCCCTTTAAAGGCATCTTGTATACTCACATAGCACACATTAGGCCATCCTTAAAAAATGTTTGTTTGCAGTAACCCGACCAAGAATTTTCAAGGTGGGTAGGTAGGTCGATTTTTTTTTTTTTATTGAACTATACTCCCAAATAAACATGGAATTTCAAAATGCTGGACAATATATGCTTTGATAATCTGGTAACAATTAATAAATTGATAACTGAATTCTAATTTAATAAGAGCTACATTTTATTTCTTCTATTAACCTTTAACAGAACGAAAACAAAGCACAAGGCATAATTTTCTGATTCAAAAAAAAATTTTTTTTATCCAGACCATGAAAAAAAATTTAGAGTAGGGGCAAATTTTGTGAGTCGGTCGCGTTACTGCAAACAAACATTTTTTTAAGGATGGCCTTATATTGTAATTTATTTTTAGGGCTCTCGTTTGGTAAAATTTGGGGCCGAATATCGGCCCCATTCCCCCACCAAAAAGGTGTGTTTTTTTCCCCCTAAAACCGAAAAAAATCCCCCTTGAAATCCTTGAAATTAATTTTTAACGGGCATAGAAAACGCCGATCGGCGAATGCATATTCCGCGTACGGCAACCGGAAATTAGTAAGTATTCCGCGAACGGCAATCGGAAATTAGTATGTATATATAAATAAAACGTTCCGGACGGGTTTTAGCATTCCAACATGTCGCACAATTTCAAGTTGTACCGCAAAAAAAGAACAGAAACAGGGTTTTACATCTCTTTGAAATTTTAGGGGTCCAGTGGATGCACAGCCTAGAAAAGTAGGGGTCCAGGCCTGAATTTTAGGGGTCCAAAATTATTTTCACTATAAAAGACTATGAAGACCACTCTATTTTGCTTAAAATCATTTATTTACCCTGTAAGAGATATGCATGTATATTGTACTGTTTTCATAAGAAGTATATGATTTCAATATCTTTTATCACTAGGTTTTTTTATAGCCCTTTAGTAGCCCTTTACAATAATATCATGTGCTATTTCCAAGGCTTATAAGTCTGTGAGTGGCTGCAATGTCAAGTTTTTGTAGCATATTTTGTTATTGATAAGGTGATTACACCAACAGACTGAAAATTTGTACTGATCTATTTGTAAATATTTTAGCTGAACTAGTAAACACACAATATATTTTTAGCTGAACTAGTAAACACACAATATATAACTTTTACAGACCAGTCAGCTAAATATGTTGTGTTTTTAAAAATATCATATAACAAAAGGATGACGAAACCGCTTTTGCACCTCCTCATAAGTTGGGACATACTTGATGTCCCAGTCATAAGTTAAGTTCGCCGAAACCATTATATTTATAACACCAACGATAATAACATACCCAGCGACTTAATTTCTATAACACTATGAAAATAAGTTTGCAAAAAGCACTGCCTTTTTTATTATCGCCGTTCATGTACAAATTACATTCGCATCGACATTGGATACGCTAACCAATAGTAATTGCTTGTTATAAATAGTCCGTCTAAATATAGCAACAGAAAAACCAAAAACAGCTACCTAAAATAGATTTTACGGTAAACGTCATCAGTTACTGTAGCTTGCACGATAAACGTCATCAGTTTCTGCAGCGGGCACTTGCAAATAGCATGCGCAGTAGATTTCAATTATGTCAACTTCAGAAATAAACAATGCAAGCATTTTCTGCTCACTGTATTAGATTTAAATGGAATTTTGTGAGCTTCGAGAAGAAAGAGATAAAATCATGTCGGGCCAGAAACAATAATATCTATTGTCTAGGATTATTTTTGTGCGTACATTTGGACGCAAGTGGATAACTTATATGAGTACATGTCAAAATTTATGCGTATAGGGACGCAGAATTCTGCGTCCCGTAAAACCCTGCAGAAATATTTCATGAAAGAAGCTTAATGATGTTTATTTGTTAACTGAATCTTACATTCACTTTTTTCTGTTTTTTTTTTCTGAATTAATTTTCCTCTGTGGAAATTCCCCTTTGGATGAAAAATATTTGAAAATCATGCAAAATTCCCCCCCTGCATGGACCCTGGCCCCAGTCTCAAAATGCTGACGAGAGCCCTGTTTTTTAAAAATTCATGAAATACTAATTTTATTTGTTTGATAGTAAGTAATTTTATCCATATTGTGTATATTTTATTATTCGACTCTAATCTATGATGTAACAAAATAAAGTCAAAATAAATATACAAGTAATTATTGACCCAATCTTTTAGACTAAAAGGTCTTTTCAGGGGTCCAGGCAGGAGTTAAAGCCCCTGGAAGTCTGTGTGTTGATATATTTCATTTTTACTACAAATATATTCACTACAAATATATTTATCATACTTGAACAATGTAAATGTGCATTGACGTCAGGGCTCTGTCTGTGATAAAAAGTGTTCCATGTTACAAATGTAAAAAAGCACCTCTATTTATGAACTGTAATTAAGCAGAGATCATTTGTGAATAAACAGAGTATTCAATACATCTGTTTCATGCTTCTTAAAGATAAATACATAATAAAAGAGAACATATTTATTTGTAATTATAAGAAAGTCCAAAATTTGTCAGATTTTGATGTTTGTATTGTTTTTACATAAAAATATAGCAATTATTTTTCAAATTATCTTATTTTTCAGGCAGTCAGCTGAACTTCTAGCCATGAAAAGGATCAGCAAAGAAAGAAGGGGGATTTGCAACCTGCCAACTTTGATGAAGAAATAATCAGTGCAAGTTTAAAGGGATGATAAATAAAATTATGTTTTATTCCAGAAGAATTTGTGTGTAGTATATTAAGCTGACTGTTTAGAGCCTTTGGACATTAATCATTAGATAAAGAGTGAAGACTAGAAAAGTAGAGAGAAAATTGTAATGTTTTTGATAATGTGCGTGTACATGTAACTGTATTGTAAACTGTGGCAAACTATTAAAAGGCATATGACATCAGTGCAGTTTCTCACAGAGAAACGTGTAATATGTGGTGAACTTTTTACAGTCATGTGATATCAGCGCTGTTTCTCACAGAGAAACGTGAAACTGTTGTTAATTATTTACAGACGTGCATTATTAGTGCTGTTTCTTACAGGAAAACATGTAATCTGTGGTAAACTATTTACAGTCCTGATATCAGTGCTGTTACTCACAAGGAAATGTGTAAACTGTGATAAAGTAGTTACAGACATATGATATCATTGCTGTTTCTCACAGGGAAACATGTAATTGTGGTAAACTATTTACAGTCATGTGATATCAGTGCTGTTTCTTACAGGGAAAGGTGTAAACTTTGGTGAACTACTTACAGTCATGAGATATCATTGCTGTTTCTTACAGGGAAACATGTAAACTGTGGTGAACTACTTACAGTCATGAGATATCATTGCTGTTTCTCACAGGGAAACATGTAATTGTGGTAAACTATTTACAGTCATGTGATATCAGTGCTGTTTCTTACAGGGAAAAGTTTAACTGTTGTTAATTATTTACAGACATGCATTATTAGTGCTGTTTCTTACAGACATGTGATATCAGTTCTGTTTCTCACAGGGAAACGTGTAATTTGTGGTGAACTATTTACATTTATGAGATACCAGTGCTGTTTTTCACAGGGAAACATGTAATCTGTGGTAAACTATTTACAGTTGTGATATCGGTGCTGTTTCTCGTAGGGAAATGTGTAAACTGTGGTAAACTGTTAACAGTCGTGTGATATCAGTGCTGTTTCTCTCAGGGAAATGTGTAATCTGTGGTAGATTATTTAAAGCTATGAGATATCATTGCAGCTTCTCACAGAGAAATGTGTCATTAAGGTAAATTATTTACAGTTTAGTGAAAACAGTCCAGATTTTCTTTAATGGAAACTCGTTTAATAGACTGCACTGATATTGTACTGAAGTACCATTACACAGCCAGCAGTGCCTTCTTGTACACTGAGGTAAACTACAATGATATAGTTTGTGAAGAGTTTTTCAAATTTTATATTGTTACATCATATGCGTAGTTTAATGGCCCATTATGTCACAGAAATGCTTTTATTAGTTCCCTACCGGTTCTGGAGGGGACTTTAGGTGTACTGTCTGTCCATACAAACGTAAAGATACTTAGGTGGGTATGGGAGCAATAGGTAACAGTAAATTTCCTTTGATCCTATTCATTCAGTAAGCTCTTATTTGGCTAAAAGAACAATAGAGAGAACAAAAGAGTAGCCAGTTAAATACCAATCTTTGAGCACATCCCTCAATCCGTCCATACACAAAAGGGGATCTCGTCATAATACAAAAAGTACTGAAAATATTTTTATGAAACTTGATATATGGGTAGATGGCAGTCTTCAGCTCCCTCAGGGAACTGTTTTCTGAGATCGCTTAAAAGATCTTTTGGAACTTGCAAAAAATTTACTTAGATAGAAAATGTTGAAACATTAGTTAAACATATTCATCCTGAGAAAAATTGGCTCTTTCTAATTTATGTGTATAAATACTATTCCTTACTAGCAGAAAACTAACACATTATATATACAGTCAGAAATAAAGTACTACAAATTTTGAATTTTTTTGTATTCATGTCCTTCCACAAATGGCAATTATTGTAAGTGGACTGGCCCTTGAGGGAATGTTGCTGGGGGTTCTTAACTAGTAGTTTATTTTCGAGCTTGTATACTGTGAAAATTTGTTTTTGTTTTAGGTCACCTGTCACAAAGTGACAAGGTGAGCTTATCTGATCACAATTTGTCCGGTGTCTGTCTGTCGTCCGTCCGTAAACTTTTACTTTAAATGACCTTTTCTAGATATTTTTATATAATTTTTACTTAATGTTTCACTGCAAACTGTTGCAAAGCATTTGCCAGAGTTGTATATTTGTCAGAGTTGTATTTCTGTTTTGCATCCGCCACAGTAAAAAATTATAGCTTCTATTCTATTCCAGTCCATATTTCATAGTAGTCAATTATACAAGATGCGAATGTGCTTGCATTTAGACCTGTCCCTGTTTCGTTACAGAAGTAACACATTGCATCAGGGGAAACCAGATCATAAAGAGTGAAATTATGTCAACGGTATTCATTTTCACTTATTGTACCAGACTTGAACAAACAACAGGTGTCGCACATATCCTTCTTTGGTATCCCATAAATAGACTTTTAGTTTTTGGACCATTTGACTCTTGTAATCAGCATATAATTCACTAGGATTTGTATGTTGTGACACTAAGTACAGTTTTGACGGCAATATTGAGAAGGAAAATTTGGAATATCTCAAAGAAACTGCTCTACTGCTTCCTTTGCTCTCGGTTTTGTATTGTATGCCTTGTTTTGTGTTGATGGCTTTGGTATTCCATGGTCTACAGTTTAACTACTCAACCATCTATAAACAGTCTAATTTTTGGCTGGATTGCACTGGTGCAAACCTGGGTTATAGTATGGTGAATGTTGGTGAATATATTTGTTATGTAGTTGATAATTTACCACAATTATAATGGGCACTTCTAAACTAAATAAATTGTTTTTAATGATAATTTGGTTAATAATTGATCTGAACAAATAAAAAAAAATATGTCTCGTCAAGCTTATATAATTATAAAGGTTAACTTGATACATAATTATAAATTAAAAAACATAATTATAAATCAAAAAACAATAACTATAAATCGAAAAACAAAAGTTCATTATTGATAAATTTTTATGGAGCATAATAATACATTAGAAACCTATGAAACAAGGGGATTTTGTCCGGGTATGTGAAGGGGATTTTGTCCAAATGTGATTTATGTCTGTACACCATAATTTTTATGTATAAAATATCAGATAAACCCACACAATTAAAGAGGAAAGCAACTAACAGTTAATTTTGCAATTTTTGTCCAAATTTACACTGTTTCCATTCTACATAGACTTCAAAACAAATGTCTTTTAATTCTTAATATTGATAATTAATAATTGATAATAAATTAAAGTTTTTTTCTGTTTTAAATAAAATTATATATACAAGTTAAAAATAATTTATTCCATTTTATTACAGTCTTGCAAATATATTTTATCAGTTTTAATTATTTAGTCAACATTTTCATTTTATATCTTTCAATACACTCAGTGATTCACAGTCATGTATTTAATTAATTAAATCTTGATTATATATTTTTTTGTCTTTTACATAATAAACATATACACAGATGTATACAAGACATCTTCCTGTTAGTTTTTTAAGATCTCAGAAGATCTATGTGGTAAGATTGAAAACAATCAATGCACAAGAAAACAATCAATGCACAAGAAAACAATCAATGCACAAATGTACTCCACACTGTTTACACATATTTATTATCTCCTTTCTTATTTTATTTTTGAACATCTACAACGACCACGTTTTGGAGCTTTAGCAGGAAAATGCCCTGAAATCTTAGTTGTCAGTGCAGCTGTTTCATTCTCGATATAATCACCGATAAGTTGCTTAGCGAGAGCCTGACGAAATTCTGCCATTGTACGTATTTTGTTTTTTTCTGTTTTTGTTTCTTTCTGGTGTTGTTGTGATTCTTTTATAATAATGAAAGCATTTGTCACTGCAACATCGAAAAAGAACCACTTCTTTGATGTACGATATGTGCTGTATTCTGTCCTAAGTAGGTCCGCGTGGTCGACTATTCATATTGTTATTATATTCAGGAATAATGACAGGGGCTTCAATTTGTTTAACTTCACCATTTCTAGATTTTTGCATAACTGAACTTGTAAAACTTGCTGGATTTTCAGCTGTGGACAAGGTAAATATATGTTTTTTGTCCGTCCAGACACATGCAGTCAGTTTCCCTTTTTGAGCCATATTAAAATCACCTTAATTTTTCAGTGATTTACTTTTAAGTTTTGATAAAGGGAATCCTTTCCTATTAGATCTAACAGTTCCTCTTGCATATATTCCTTTCTCCAAAAGTTCTTCAAATAAGGAAGGGCTTGTCAAATAATTATCCATGTTCACTATATGATTATGTCCCCATATTTTTCTTGTCATAGCCTTGACGCGATCCAAGCCCAACCTTGACACCACCCCTTTCACGCCCAGTATAAACTTGGTATTCATTTGTGTAACCATTCACAGGATCAGCTCTCATCCAAACTTAATTCCATACTTAGTTGGCTTTGCTGGTAAATATTGTCTAAATGATAAGCGACCATGAAATTTAACCATGGATTCATGTACACTGACATTTTGATGAGGGTTATAATTTCCAAGACACTTTTCTAGAACAGTTGTCAAGATAAGGCGTACTTAAGGTGGAGTTTGTCATGTTCTTCTTGGTTTCTAGCTGGATTTTTAGATCTATCATTTGCGTGGATGTACTGGCAGATCTTGTAGGGACGATCTCTTTTCATTATCCGCCTTGTGCCAAGGAGACCAAACATACAATCCTTCGACCAGTACCAGGCCATCTGCGGAGGCTAAAATGATAAAAGTAGGACATGATTTTTATTATTCATTAAATTATTCTTAATCAAATTTAAATTCAAATATACTTCATTTATATTAAGAATCAAGTGTTAAAAACTCATTTATGATAAATAATTCATAATATGAATATTCCAGGCCCATTGTATTATTACTTGTATGTTGTATCATATATGTGCAACTTATATCTTTATCAATTTACTGTTTCAACAGGAACTTTATAATTAGGCCAAAAAAATAATATGTCTGATTCAGGAAACATTGGACCAAAAATTAGGAGGGAAGGGATTTTCATTTTTTTTATTTTTTTTTTGAAACGTCTTATTTTCCATTTTCGTATGTGTTGCTTGCATAACATACTTAAACAGCGATTGTAATCAATCAATGCAAACACCATTTTATAACTTCCAGCATAGTGTGTTTCACTGCAATCTCAATATGAATGGTATTGGTAAAGAGTTATATTAAAATGATAACTGTCAACAAGTTAACAATGACACTTGCAAACAGTTTAGCATCTTTTAGCTTGAAGCAGCTCTCGTAAATGAATCACTTTTATCAAACAAATGCCCTAAAACATGTTAATTCACCTTCCAAAATGTTGCCCCTTGGATGGCCGTTGACATCTCACACTTCACGTCGTATAATACTTAATATATGATATGTTTTTTGAGATTGGCCAAACATTAAGTTGACTAAAACAATGCATGTACATAAAAGTTTATTAAGTATCTCATATCAAATATTTGAAACAATGAACAGCAAAATTCATAGTTTTTTAATATTAAAAAATATTGAAGCTAAATTATTTTTTGAACCCAAAAAATTTTGTAGCGAAAATAAAAACAAAACAGTTTAGGGTCTGGGGTATAAAAATAGGGTATGTCGGGTTCCCTGAACCATACATATTTTTTATTTTGGCCTTATATTCAAATTTTAAATTTATTTAGGTAATATTTTTCTTTTTATCAAATTTATTTCTTTAATTCCTTATATCTTCGTAAAAAACTGAAATACAAAATAAGTACGAAATATTATGTGGACGAAAATATACGGATAATCACGACATAAACCAAAATTATAGTATTTGAAATGCAATTGAACAATATGTTAAGGGAGCAAATAGTAATGACAATATATAGTGTTAATACCTCCTTGCCGCCTTCTGATAAACGTTGAGAACTGGACAAATTACTCTGAAAGTCTTAACTTTCACGAAAGTTCTTTTTTGCAAATGGTGTACAAAAACCTTGAAACCTACGCAGTGATCTCCCTTTGTCAGTACAGAGATCATTGCCATCACAAACATTTAAATATCAATATTTGTATATTTTCAGGTACGTATATTATTTAATAATAACAGAGTAACCATGCACAGTTAAAAATAAAACAGAAAGAGAAAAATGACGTTAGATTTTCTATGTTATTTCCTATAACTTAAAAACCTAAAAACTCATTATAGGTAATTACATTTGCGTTCACCCATTTTCATTTCTTCAAAAAACCAATAACTCATTTTGAGTAATCAAGTTTCTATGCCATTTTAATTAGAAGCAAAGAAAGAAACACACCCAATGCTTAAAAGCTTTATTTATTGAATACTGCAATACTTTGGCAATCCATGGAAATTAAAAAAAATACACAGTATCGTGTCCTTCATTACACTAATATGATATAATAATAACATTAAAACTAATTAAAAGTCTGAACAAGAAGCCGGTATCTGAAAAACTTAACAGCTCAGTGCACAACTACAGGTCATGTTAGGAAAACTAGAAAAATAGCTTTTAAAAACATTCACCTTGAATTTAAGCCTTGGTAAGGAGAGATGTTTGCAAAGTACATTGATAAAAGAGATCGGTAATTAAATAAAGACCTTGTGACGAATAGTAG